AACAGTGGAGCCCACTAAATGCACTAAATTGTATTTTTTGATAAATTTGAAATTTTTTATTGAATTTCGATTTGGTTTAAAAAATTAAATTTTTTTTTAAATGTACATGTCCCCTTCTCAGTTAGGGCAGGTGGGCTCAGATTTTGGGGTATTCTTGTTCTCAGACTTTTTCACAGTTTTAATTTGGATACATCTCTCTTTTTGACACAAGTATTTTTATACAAAAGAATACAGTTTATGGTATCAAATTAGCTTAACTTCATTAACTACCATTTATTAGTTGTTCATAGTTATTTATAGGTAATGACGAATAATTAGAATTAAACAAAGTTTAGCATTGGTATTTATATTTAATTTATTAAAGTTTATTTATAAATTTATTCTCAATAATTTATTAACTATTAAGTTACAGATAGAGTCTATAATGCTTTCGAAGAAAGGAAGAAATAAGGTTTAAGTTTAATAGATATCATAAGTTAAACTTTTAGTCTATGCCTGTTGCTTTACTAAAAACACTAAGTATATTCTAGTATCAGAAATTGATTATACATAAAAAACAAATACGCTCACAGTTTACGTGACATTTCTTTTATGTCTTTTTATCTTTTAAATTTAAAAGTTTATTGCGCAACAGTCTTTTTTCTGTTCTTATTAAGAAAGTATAAAAATACGCCCAGTTGTTGAAACTTTTTATTTAAAATTATCTAATCAGCATAAACATTTATCTTCAAATTGAAATGAAAAGTTTTGTTTTAAACTAAACCAATCAAACAGTGGAACAGAAAATGAACATAAAAAGAGATTGAATATTAATTAGGAGCAAGATTAATTTTATTATATTGTGTTTTTTTTTTATAAAATATAAATTTTTGTTATATATTGTCCTTTACTTTGCGCTATATTTATTTTTTCATTTTGATTTATACTTAATATACTTTTCTATAAGTATATTTTCTTATTGATATATATTGATATATATTGATATATAGAGAGAGAGAGGCCTCGGCGGGAATAAATCAGCATGAGAGCAGAGAAAAGCTCTCCTAAAATGAAATTGGAGAGCTGTGCAATCTGCTCCTCATATAAATCGTCGCACTTTTTATCTTTAATTTTTTTTTTTATATAATTTTTTTTTTTTCTACTTTTGGACCAACTACCACAACTATTTGGAGCCAACTACACCAAACAAAGTTATTGACCAATTACAGGCCACCTGGAGCTTTTTCACCAGTTATCTGCCAGCTAGAACTTTTTCACCAATTATCTGCCAGCTGGATTTTTTTCACTAATTATCCGTCATCTGGACCTTTTTCCCTAACTACCTGCCACCTGGACCTTTTTCACCTATTGTCTGCCACCCGGACTTTTTTCACCAATTATCCACCATCTAAGTATTTTTCGCCAATTATTCGCCACCTTGACCTTTTTTACTAATTATCTGTCTTTTTACCAAAACCACACCATGTGACCGAACCCACACTGTGTGGAGCTTTTGACCAATATACGCGTATACAGATTTTTTGAGCCTCCAACTACATCTTTTACAAGGATCTTTTATAAGGGAACACTTTCTTCTTATATTTTCTCATTTTTTTGTTTTCAACATGTATATACTGCCATCATCAAAGGTTACCACAGAGGTACATATTGTATATTGTAGGTACATATGTTTCAGTAGCAATATTGAAATGTTGACAGTTTTTCATTAGTAACTCCGATAGAGATGTTTCCTTTAATTGACACATTAAGGAAATTTGACAGTGTTGTGATGGGTACATTTAGTGAACCACTAAATCACAGTTTACAGCATCATAAGCTTATCCAAGACTTTACAGATAGTTTTGAATATTCTCAAAATGCTGTTCACATGTAAGTATGATATAAACTTAAAATGTTTAATAACTTCTTTTACTTTAAATATTCTCTTCATATACACTTATCTATTTTAGTTCTTGAATAAAAGCCTCAGTGTATCATAGAAAGTACATGCAATAAGATCTTATCTTAGAACCTTCCTAGATGTGCATAGTTGCTTTCTTTCAAGATATAATGAACAATCAATAGAAGCCTCACACCTAAAATTGAAGCTTTTTGTAAATAAATTTAATGTATCTGTCCTCAAAGACAGTAAAAAGTCCTCGAAGTACTGTTCTCGAAGACAGTAAAAGAAATCAACAAAACATTTTCCAGCATGAGGCCACCTCCCTCAAATTGAGATGAGGACATAACCATTTCAAAAAAAAAAAATTGTTATTTCTTAAACCAAATCAAAATTCATTAAAAATTTTAAGCTTCTTTAAAAAGATGTATTTACTTTAGAAGTTATGGTTGTGTAAAATTTAAAAACCCATTATTTTGGATGAGGAAGGAGAAATAAAACGCCTTTTGGTCAAAAATTTTGAACTGTCATATATATTTTTTTATAATGAATGCTATGAACAGGCCTTGTGATGAATAAAAACTGCGCAACGCATAAGCTTGACATGATTTTTGACGTCATTAAATTCTTTTTATTTGCTTTTCATATTTATTGACATTAAATGCACCAATTTACTTAATTACTGCAAAACTACTTTAAATCATTAATGTAGAAATGTTATTATTTAAAAATGTTTTGGAATGTTTCGTTTTTTAAATTGTAAAAACATTTGTTTATTTTCTCGACGTTTGACACGTTTTGTCTAAACTAAAAGAATAAAAAACATTATAACTAAACATTTAAAAAAGATTATAAAATATGCTAATATTTGACTTTTTTTTTCTCAAATATGTAATTTAAAGTTTTTCAAATAATTATTTTTTCTTTTTAAAAAGTCAGTGAGTAATAAACTGGAAATTTTGATATTGTACGATTAAAAACTGTGCAATAAATAATATTTTTACCAGCAATTTTATATAATATTTTTTTATTTATTTATTTTTTTTTATTTTCATAAAGCGGTTAATAAGCGCAATTACTTGTATTACTAAAAAACTTTAACGAATGTTTTATAATAATAATATTTTATAATAATATAGATTCTTATTATTATAATAATAATAATATTTTATAATAATATAGATTTTTTTATGTTTGCAAGGAATTTTAATTCTCGTAATATAAGTAAAAGAGCTTCGGTAACTTTTAACAAAAGAGCGATTGTTATTATTTAAGTAATTTTTTTTGAGTTACTTTTTACAACAATTTTATTAACTGTACTTTTTTATTGAATCAAGTAGAATAAGTTTTAATATTAATCCTTTTATTATTTTTTTATTTACGCTTACCAATTTTTAAAACGTTTCCTCGAATTTACTCTTAAATACTTTAAATATGTCTAACAGTTAATAAATATTTGAAATTGATGGAATAATTTTAAAACCTAAAAACTTTTTTACTATATTGTTATGATTCAGGCAAGTATTGGGTTATGTATATTTGGTGTCAGATGTCGTTACAACGTAAACTTGTATTTTTTATAATGGTTTTATATTTTTGAGTAATGTAGCTGATAATTGCCCAAAGGCATGAAACCTTAAGTTTCATTATAAAGATGTATTTTTTCATTTAAATTATTATTGTTATTATTATTATTATTGTTGTATATATATATATATATATATATATATATATATATATATATATATATATATATATATATATATATATATATATATATATATATATATATATATATATATATATATATATATATATATATTAGACACCAGCAATTTCTGGAAATTTATCACTTCAAGCTGGAGTAAAATTACCTTATAAAAAAATAAGAATTTTGGCGAAAAAAGTAACTTTTAAAGTTGACTAGAAGCTATCTTATTTTAAAAATAAGCATTAAAATTCCAACTTAAAAGATTTCTCATTAGTCACCATTTTTATTGGATATATCGGGGTGTTCACTCTGCTAAATAAACTGAAAGAACTAGAAAGGACTGTTTTGAAAGGCATACTAAAAAAACTAAAAACTAAATTTTTTGTGCATAATTGATTTAATGATTATAAAAAATACATTTTCCAGTTATTCAAGTGTGTTTTTTAAAAATAGTTTCATACATTTTTTTAAGTTTGTTTTGAGTTGACACCCTGTTTATTATGACATCCGGCCTTGAAAAAATGTAAACAAACCAAAAAGTAGAGTATCAAATTGTAGATTGGACCTTGCGAAAGCGTTTTACTGTTATTTTTAAGGAGTTATAAAATCTTTAATATATATTAACTATATTATCAAGCTTAATTTATTACAATAATAAAAAAATGCCTCCTGTAAAAAGAACTAGACGGTGTAATTTGTATGGTGGTAGCCCTTCTGATCTTCCTATTACAGATCTAGCAACTTATGGTGATGTAGCAAGATTTTTCTACAAATTAAAAGATTTAGATGGTATTAAAGACAAAAATATTATTATTCAAAGAACGCTTTGTAGTTTAAAAGAAATATGGTTCAATTGCAATTACAAATTAGTTTTGTTACCTGAAAAAAGTTTGATTGTTAAACTTTTAAGATTTTATAATAAAGTTATTTCTTGGAATGGAAATAAAATTAAACCTTTGACCAAAAAATTGTTGGAAAAAAATAAAGAAAAACTTTTTGATTTGCCAACTGCAAGGATGAAGTTCTTCCTTGTGATGACAGGAATATCAAATCCTCAGGTTATTTAAATGTGCATCTTTACTGTAGTTGTGTTGGTAGTAAAAAAGTAAGTTATACAAATTTAAAGTTATTTATTTTAAATTAAACTTTAAATAACTTATTTAATTTTATTGATAAACTTTTTTATATTTTATTATTATTTTTTATATTTTTAGATAATAATACGTTTTAAACAAATTAATTGAAGATAATATTTAAAACCAGAAATAATTATTTAGGTTCCTTTGGAAGAGCGCTCCTATATAAAAGACCAAAGGGAGAAAATTGGTACTAAAGGAAAGTTTCAAATAGGAGGTATTGATAACTCTATTATCAATACCTCCTATTTGAAACCTAGTTTTATCACCTACCTCAAGAAAAACAAAGCAAACAAAAGCTTCTAATGAAGAAATTTATATTAAAGAGTTTGCCACAATCATGGATTCAGATCAGGTAATAAATTGTGACCTGTAAACTTTGATTGTATGATAAAACTATATATATTCTTAAATTTCTTAATTCTTTTAAATATAATGCTCTAAAGTTAATTAGAGCATCTTAAATGTTAATACAATTAAATGTAAAATTTTCATTGTTTTTTTGTATTTTTTTCTATAATTACAGAGTGAAACTTCAATTTCATCATTAAATCAGACTAGATCAAAGAACTATAACACTACCCACTATCCCAAATTTGCTTTAGAGGTAATTAGATATGGAATATCAGATGAAGCAGCTGCCGCTGTAGCTAATTTCAAGATATTGGTTATCTACATCTAAATGATGTAATTGATCCAAGTAAAATGAAAAGAGAGAAAGAACGAGTATGCTTTAATGCTAGTTTTGAGCAATCTAAAGTTTCAAATATAAAGGCAATTGGTTTGGATAGCAAACGTAATAAAAACTCATTGGTTTAAGAACAGAGAGATATTGACGGTGAAATAAATCTTTGTAAATCTACTAGCACTCTAGACCACTTGACATTCACAATTGAATCAGGTAAAGGCCAATGTTATCTCTTTTGCCTCTGTATTTTATTTTTTTTTAATTTTATTTTTTACAAATAAAAATGTTTTAATTTGAATAAGGCGAGTTGCAAGGTCAATATCTAAAGCACATAGATGTACCTAAAGAAAAAGGTAAAGGAAAAGATCTTGCTGAATTTACCTGTAATGTTCTCAAGGAGTTTAAGAGTGATAAAAGTATCCAGGCAATAATTTTGGACAATACAAGTGTTAATACAGGTATATTTTTTCTTCAAAAATGCCTGTCTGAAAAATAAAAAAAGATAATACATAAATCTTTATTTGAGTTATATATTTTCATATTACTATATCATTTTAGGTAAAGATAATGGTTTAGTTGCTTGTCTTTAAAGAATATTGAAAAGAAGATTTCATTTAATTGACTGTCTTCTTCATGTTAACGAGTTACCATTGCGTCATTTAATTTCTAAACTTGATGGTTTTTCTAATAGCTCAAATAATTATTCGGGTAATCTAAATAATAATATTATTTTACATTCTTGGTGATAATAATATTATTTAGATTACCCGATTATTATTTAGCAACATTATTAAAATTTATAGAAATTCTATTTTTTACTGAAGAGTTTTATTGCTGCTTTACTTTATTCTGATAAGCATAAATATAAATTATTATTTTTAGTAAAAAGTTATAACTATTAATATTAATATACTTGATCAAATAATAATAATAATAATAATTATAATAATAATAATAATAATAATAATAATAATAATAATAATAATAGCAATAATAATAATAGTAATAATAATAATATTTTAAAGGACCATTTGGAAAATCTTTGACAAATCCAATTCATTTAAATTTAACTGTTCACTTCATACAAGCTAAGACAGACATTGAATATCCTCCTCTGTGTGTCATTAAAGACCTTTCTGCTGACCAGAGAATGTTACTGGAATATAGTATTGGAATTTCTAGAGGGTTTTCAGACAATAAGTATCTGAGAAAAAAAATAGGTGTATTGTTTTGTAAATAATTTGTTCCTAATATTTTTCCTTTTATTTTGTTTGTTTGAAGTTTATGTAAATATATATTTATTAATATATAATTTACTATTAAATTATACTATTAATTAATTTTTATATATAAAAGATTATATTTTTAGGCCCTATTTATCATGCAAGTTGGCTGACAACAGCAGTACAGATCTTGGCACTATACACAAGAACAATCAATCCCAGTAGAGAGCTCAAAATATTTGTTGAATATATTCAAACACTATATACTCCTATGTGGTTTAATATTAAAAAGTCTAAGAGTTTCACAGAGGGTCCTAAACTTATTTTCCAATTTATTCAGCAGACTTTGAGGTTGGATACTGAAGTTCAAAATATTACATTGCCCATAGTTTATAGAAACTCTTTTTGTCTCCTACCTGAAAATTTTATTGCTGCTCTACTTTATTCTGAAGAACAGGTTTATAGAACAATTGATGTTGTTAAGATTTTGGAAACAAGAAAAACCCTAATTAAGGATCCTAAAAATGGATTAAAAGATGGTATTAGGGTTAATGCTATTCCAATTATTGATTGTAGATGTAAAAACTGGTCAAAATTAATAAATCTGTATGATATAGACTGTTTTGAGCCCCCTTGTGTGGAAAATATATATCAAATGAGGAGCTTTTGAGTATAATACCGAATCAGGGAAAGGCTCCCAACTTTCTGTGCCACTCGCAAACAGTTGAAAGAGCAGCGAAAATGACTTCTGATGCTAGCGGAAAATTTATTAACCTCAAGAAAAGAAATGCTTATATTCTAGCTAAATGCCAAAGTCAAAAGAAACGAATATATTTTAGAACAAAGAAAAAATATACATTGTAATTTGTTATCATTTCTTTAAATTAATCTATTTGGTAATATGTATGTTTATTATTATTATTATTAGTTTAGTTCAGCAGTAAAAGTATAATATATTTAGTAGTAGTCAAAAGGGGCATAATAAATTTTTTTTTTTTTTGGGGTGAGTGGTGGTGGTGGTGGGGGGGGGGGATTCAATCTAATAAAAAGTGCTGCAACAACATAACATTGTTGTTTATGTTTAAATCTGTTTTTCAGTTAATAGCTAATGATTATTGAAAACCGCTTATTGTTTTAGTTATTTTTCCAATACCCTAAAAACAACCTTAAAAATTTAAGTTAAAACTATTTATACAACTTATCCTTATAAACAATACATCTATAAAAGTTTTTGTGCGTTAACGTTTCAAATATTTATTGTGTGACCTCTTAAAGTTTTTACTTTTTAATGATAATATATGATAAATATAAGACCAAATAAGATAGAATCAGAAATACTTGAAGCTTTTATATTTTGCCCATAATGTTTTTATGGTCTAAAGAAGGTACTCCAGCTTGAAGTAATTGCAATTTCTTAAAAAAGTTAAAAATTACTGGTGTCTTATATATATATTAAAAATTATGTTAGTGTATTCTACAAACAGAGTGCTCAATGTTTTTAAAGAACTGAGCAATCAGGGCTGCGGAGTTGTTGAGTCAGAGCCACCACATGTTTAGTGGAGTCGGAGTTGCTAAACAATATCCTGACTCCAACTCCAATAGTAAAACTTCTCAGTATTGCACTGTAATTTTTGCATTATTTAGTTTAAATCCACCTATTTCCAACCATATATAGAAAGTGCTATTTACTATTTACTACTTTAAATACTAATTATACGGCTTCACTTATATATTTTACTTCTCAGAGTTTCAGAGAAAGTTAAGTTTCAACCTGTTGAAATAAAAAACATATTAGTAGGTAGAGCTGCACAGTTCTCTTACGATCTAGAATAAAGTTTTTAATAACATTAAAATTTCAGATTAACTTAATGTATTGAAAAGAAAAATTGCAAAATGAGATATCCAGTACATTACTTTTGTATGAATTTACTTTTTACAATTTTGGGATATTTTATAAATCACACAACCCTAAATTTTACCACTAAACGAAAAAAAAAATTATAAAATTAAAATATAAAATTTATACAAACACACTGTTAAAAAAAAATAACTGTTAATATAAACACTATAAATACACATTTAAAAAAATGTATTCGTAAACACTATAATTACATCTATCAATAGTTAATGTTGTTACACATTTAAGTGTATCTACATACACATTTTATTAGATATATCTGTAGTGGTTAACAAATATGTTTGCTATTCTGTTTATTATATAACCTCTTTTCCCATTTTTTCTTTCAGCAGAAGGCTGAAATTCTAACCTTAAAATTTAAATAAAGTTTCACATTAGTGAAATAAATAAACAGAAACCACTTCTTGTTTTAGTAGATAAAAATACTAAACTTTGTGAACTTGTTATCTATGAAAGGTGGTTTCTTTTTGTTGTTTTGGACTTAGTAAAGAAAACAAAGGTTTGGTTGGAAGCATGCCAGAATAAAGAAGGTTTTGAGTCCTCATACAAGAAATTTGTTCTTTTTATTTTACTACTCAGTGTCACAAATAATTGTTCTGAAAGAAACATTGGACTTATACAAAAGTTTGTGAACTCTTCACACTCTAAGGATCAGAGACAAAACATTTTGCTAGTTATTTAAGAAAATTTAAAGATTTTGTGATTTTGAAATAGATATCGTTATATAATGCTGTAAATACAAACATATTTTATTTGTTAAACTCTTTTGTTAATTATTTCAGATCAAAGTCAGTATTACTAATATTATAAAACAGTAATTATACTAAGATTTGCCTTTTTTACATACATTTTTTAGTGTGTTGGAAACAAATGATGAGTATTTAATTTATTGAAAAAATGCATCCACCTGTTCCAATGATTTTAGTAAGCTAAAATTTTCAATATAAGCTAGTATATAGATGGAGAACAGGTATTTACACAGTGCATTGGCACTTTTTGAAAAAAAGTGCAAAAAAGTTGTCACCCTAATATACATTTATATATAATATATATATATATATATATATATATATATATATATATATATATATATATATATATATATATATATATATATATATATATATATATATATATATATATATATATATATATATATATATATATATATATATATATATATACATACAACATACATATATATTTAAAAGTTATGATTAACAACATAGATTTCATTTTGTCTTGCTGCATCATTTGGCAGTATACTCTCTGGAATTTTTATTGATAAAATTGGCAGAAAATCAACTGCTCTTATGAACTCAATGATCTCTCTTTTGGGTTATGCAATGCTGATATTTGCAGAGGTTCAATTAGTCAGTTATCTGCCTGGCTGCATCATAAGTTGTGTTGGAGTTGGCATGACTTCTCTTGTTGTACCAGTAAGTTTTTTTTTATTAAGTTAAAATACTGATTGTTTATAAAGTTGTATATTTTTAAAAATTTTAATTTTGTTTAAAGGATTTATGTATATTTTTTTATCAAACACTGTTTTTTGTATTAAAGCAATAATTCTTTGTCTCTTGCTTGGACTTTTTGTTGCTCTGGTATTGGTTTAAATTATTTTTCTAATGTTTTGCCATTTGAAAAATAATTAAAAATCGTAGTTTATAAAAACAAATATTCACACAACTGAGACTAGTAGAAAACAAATTTTGTCATATCACCAAGCCCCAAAAAACCCTATTATGTGCTTAGAATTATTAGTCTCTATACACATATCAAGGAATACATTTTAAAAAATAACTTTATTAAAACTTAACATAAAAATAAAATTAAATTGAACAATGCTAATTTTAGATCAAGACATATTTTTAAAAATGGAGTTATTTTAGGTGCATGTTCAAGGTTGTTTTAGGTGCATTTAACACTTTAAGTGAAAAGAAATTGTTGAGAATGCTATTAATAATATGGTTTGCATAATGTATATATAAATAATATAAAATTAAAAGGTTAAAGGCTTCACCTAAATGCATTAACTACGACTGCATTTATTTGAAACATGATTTTGGGTTTATAACTGATTGCAACACTTAGTTATTAAAAAAACCACAGTTATCAAATAGTATGCTTCAAGGAAATACTCTACAACTTCTGTTTATATAATGTTTAAATAGACAACAAAGAAATTATTTTCATGACAAAATTTTCAAAAGCGTTGTTTTTATTTCAATGAAATAGATGGCAACGTTTTATTTTTTATTCAGCAACAATCGCAATCACTTCACTCCGTTAAACTAAGAGATAATTTTAGTGACTGTTAAGAAAAAAAAATTGTAAATAGCCAGTTTTAAATAGAATAGAGATAAATAAAATTTTAATCCTGGGGTTAAGCCTCTGTATATTTTACAATTCGGTAGATTTAAAATTTTTTGAAACAAATGAATTATTTACTATAAAAATTGCGAAGAAACGTGCAACTAGACGAAAAGTTAATGTTCCAGAAGAGACATGCTTTGTATTGGCAATGCCTGAAGAACAAAGCAACATTCAAGTTAAAAAAAATAGGAAAATAGATGAATAAAATTAGGCAACATGTAAATTATAAAAAAATAGTTAAAATGTTTAAAAATATTTCAACTATTTCTATAAAAAATAAACTGTTTAAAATAAATTGTGGAACATGGTAAAAATAATAAATCTTTTAAATTTTTTTCTTTTTTTGAATAGCAATAACACAATCTTTGACAAAATTAATATAATCTAATTAATAAACCTTTGCTGTTTTTAGGTAGTATTTTAGATGTAAAATTTGGTTTTGAAATTCTTGAGACTACATACAAGTGATTGGCAGCTTTAGTTGTGGCAAAAGGTTTTTTAGTAAACACATTTCTGTCAAATGTATGTATTCTACTTTTATTTTAATCCTGCTTGACAATTTTGAACAGTTGCAGCTTTACCATTAGCTAATCCAAAAAGTTCACTAACCTTATACTCAGTTACAAAGCAACATAGATGGTGATGAAACTTTACTTGGTTTCTTGACTGGTGAGGTACTGCTAAAAAAAATTGATCAAAAGATTTTTCAAATAACTTAGTTGTTATCCATTCGTTTTTGGTGTCACCAGAAATAGAAAGTGATGAGGTTTTATTTCAAAAATTAGTTTTTATTTGAACAAGTGGATCTATCAAAATTGGCAGTACAAGTATTCCGCATTCTGATTGGCAACAAACTGTTGTGATTATTTTTCCTCTTTTCAGTTTGTTAAGCTACCAACACAGTATTTCCCCTTCAGGGCAACAACTTTTCCTGGTTTATTACATATAGACAAATCATATCCCAGCAAACACCAGAATGTACAAAAAACGTACAATAAAGGTTCAAATGGAACGTCTCGGATGTGTTCTAAACTGGTTCTAGATTAGATGCTAAATAACGTCCTCTTAAAATGTTCTAAAAATGTCCTAAAAAGACTTAAATACGACTTTCCGTTTAAGTGCCATTATACAAATTTGGTCTAGAAAATCTGTCTTTTATACGTTCAAAAGACATTTGTGATGCAATTAGCGTATTTTATCAATCACAGAATGTGGAAGGTTTTAGGGACAAAAATTTAACATTCAGAAAACATAATGGAAACATCAACCAGTGTGCCTTATTGATTAAAACAAATTTAAAACAAAATTAAAAGTATACACAAGATTAAAACATATTTTAATTACAATTCTAAAAAATATAAAAACTATTGTCGTGGTTTAGTTTTTCACAGTCACCAACGCCATTTTTATCCTGCGCTCTTTTCAGGTTTTCCAACACAATTTTCTAGTTCATTCTTGGCATACTTGGGCATGGTCTCTGCAAACTACAAAATAATATATACAAATAAGATTTGAAAAATATAAAATAACGAATATATTAAAAATTTATTTAAGTTACCTTATATAATTGTGAAGGCTAGCTATTATTATTATGTTATAAGTAATTATACATTAACAAAAAAAAAGGCAACTTATTATTATGCATTATGTAATAGTTTGATCTTATTAATTATTCAATTAGTTTTATAGTAATTTTAAAACTAAAAAAAACCTAATCTTATCAGTTAAAGATCATTATCAAACTTATTACTTAAAGATCAAGTCTAAGGATCTGCAAAATATTGTTTTTTCCTACATTCTATATACTAATATATATTATCTATTTAAATGTTAGAATAAGTGAAAGTTTTTTTTTCTAAAGAAAGGCCAAGGAAATACAAGTTTTTGTTGATGCGCAACTGAGCTTTGTAACGCGCCATTATGATTTGGGAGTTCGAGACCCCGTTGGAGGGTAAAAGTAGAGACAACGTTTTATATCTCCTATAAAAACTTAAGAAAACTAAGCATAAACATCTACCAAAAACATTCAAATAAAATTTATTTAATTATCAAGTATAATCAAAAACAAAATTTTTGCATAAAGATGCCGAAAATTAGTTGTGCTGTAATTGGTTGTGTAAATAGTACATATAGGTTGAAAAAATGGAAAAAAGAAATATGCAATGAACACCATCAAAATATAAGCAGAGAGGAATGCTCATTATGTGAAAAACCATTTTTATTATATAAATTTCCATCAGTAAATCAGAAAAATAAAGAAAGACAATTATGGGTGAAAGTGTTTAAAAGAGAATTGATAAGTAAAACATTATGGCAGTCAACAGGTAGTGGTAGGGTATGCTCCATGCACTTTGTTGATGGAATTCCTTCAACTGCAAACCCTGCGCTTACTTTATGTCTTGGATATGAAATACAAGCTAATAAATCTAGAAGAAAATTATTAAAACACCCTATTATAGAAGAAAATTATTATAACACCCTATACCATTAAAAAAGCAAAAACTTGACTGCACTGCTACTACAAGTTGTTTGACTTTTATGCCACTTGCTTCAGGACAGTCACCTCATTCTAATGATGTTTTAACAGATTTATATGAAAAAAATAGTTTACCATTAGCTAATATATCATTTTTCTTGCCAGTATCTGATCATTCGTATTACTTTATACAATCATGTAAAGTTTGCAAAGTATGTGTTGACAAGAGCAATTTAATCGAATCACTCATCAGTAAAATAAACACACTAACATTAACTTGCCAAAAATTAAAGCGTCAAAAATTATTTGATAGTGTTAAAAGTTCAGTATTTACATGGAAAAAAACTAAAACTGATGCTAAAATGAACTTTTACACTGGTTTATCAACAATCAAATTATTTGAGAGTTTGTTTCTACTAATTAAACCATATTTACCATATTTAATTTTTTGGTCTGGTCCAAAAAAGTTTACCAATTCTAAAAACCAAAAAAAAAATATGCTTTAACAAAAAAATTTAAAAAATTATTACAAAGAGATGAGTTTTTACTTGTTTTAATGTGATTAAGATTAGGTCTTCTAAATCAAGACTAAGCTGATCGTTATGGCATATCCCCAGCATTGTGTTCTTGTACATTCACAACTTGTATTAAAATGTTAAGTCAAGTTTTAGGACAAGCATTAGTTGTATGGCTTCCACGTGAAACTATTCATAACAATCTGCCACCTGTTTTTGTGAAAGCTGGTTATCAAAAATGTAGAGTAATTCTTGATTGTGCAGAAGTGTTTATAAAATGTTCAAAGTCCCTTGATAAGCAATCAAGCACCTGGTCAGAATATAAGCATCATAATACATTTAAATTTTTAATAGGTGTTAGTTCAACTGCATATATTACATATTACAAATATGGATATATTTTCTTTCTTCGTGTTATGGTGGAACAGCAAGTGATAGGTTTATTTCAAAAGATAGTGGTATATATAATCTACTAGAGAGAGATGATAAAGTTATGGCTAATTGAGGATTTCAAAATCAGGAAGATTTAATATTAAATTTCTGTACTTTAGTTGTTCCACTTGGTGCCCGCTTGAAAAGTCAATTAACCACCAAAGAAGTTCAAAAAACTAAACATGTTGCAAATCTAAGAATACATGTAGAGCGAGTTATTAACCGAATTAAAACCTACAGAATTCTAAATGGAAGTATGTCAATTAGCATGCTGCAACATGCATTTTACTAACATTTGGTGCACTTTGTAATTTAAAACCAAAACTGATAGCAGATCCTAAACCAAAAATAAGTATATAAAATAAAATTTCTTGTTAAGTTTTTTTTTTTTTTTTTGCAAAAAGTTTTTTTGTTTTTGTTTTATTATTACTTGTATATGTATTATACTTTTTAATGTACCTTTAAGTGTTGTTATTGTGTCTTATCTCCTCAATGATGTATAGATGTTCTTAACTTTGCAGGAACTTTTTTTTATTAAAATTTATTAATTCTTTACGTTAATATGTTATATCTATCTTATTTATTGTTAAAGTTAGTTGTTTGTAAGATATATGGTGTGATATTTTTTAAAGTTTTCTCCCCTTCTAATGCATAAAGTATTTTATGATTCTATAAAACTACTTTTATAGAATCATAAAAAATTCTATTTTTTTAAAACTTTGTTGGTATGTAACTTGTAGTTTTCCTATATTATAAAGCCAATAATGAGGAACTAAAAAATATTTAAAAAAGGAGGAAAAAAGGAACTCAAATATAATAGAGGTTGATTGGTTAATCGGAGGTAGAATAATTTACATATAAATCTCTATCGCTGTGTTAAGTGGATACAAAACAAATCTAGTACCTTTTTGTAAAGTTAAAGAATCTGCAAATTTAAAATCAGCTACAGGCAGCATAAAGTATAGCAACGACACTGATTTTCGCAATAAGGAAATAAATTTTTTGTCTTAGACAGCAATGACTTTTTTCAGGGCTTGCGTGAAAAGGTGTTTTTTTAAGGTTCCATAAGCATATTGCCGATTAAAAAAAAAGTTGATTTTTTGATTTATTTTTTATATTTTCTGACTAGGTCAAATCATGTCCATATTTGCCGACTAAAAATCAAGACTGGCGTCGGGAGAGATGTTTCACCCCAGCAGAGGCGGAGCGTTTTCAAAAGTTGGGCAGGGGAGGGGAAGCATTCCAATTTCGTCCCTCCTTCCTCCACAGTTTTAGGAACAGCCGTTGTGCAGTACTCAGTTCGCTTACTTTAGAGGTCAGAAATCAAGTTAATCTTTGCTTCTGTTAATTTAAAAAAGTTCAGGGGGCTAATAACGAGGTTGTTTGACTTAACTTTGAGTTTCATTTCACAAATATTGTTGTTATTGTATGACATCAGGGTAAAAATAATCTGAAAAATATCTTTAAAGTTAAGAAGGGGGCAAAAGCTACTTTTGTGAATAGTGAGAGCATGGCCCTCTTCACCATCGTTTACGCTGCCGCTGTTACACCCCTATCGCCGGTCCTGACTTTTTCAACTGTTACTACTACTTTGGGTGTTGGGGGGTAGATGCCTTTACTTACAAAATTCGTTTTTTTTTTTCAAAATTGGTTATTTCTTTTCAAAATTTGTTAATTTTTGAAACAAAATGTAAAATCTCAAAATGTAAAAATACAAACCTGCAATAGCAGTATTTTACTTATTACCTTTTGACCATAAAAATTTTATGAAAGTATAAAAAAGTCGAGTCCCCACAGTAGCAGTGTAAGATTTCTTGAGGCCCGGGGCTATATTTGTTTTTGGAGGCCTTTTTATGGGCCAGAGCCTAACAATGACTAGAAAAAAAAAGGTCCTCTAAAATTTTTTGGGGCATCTAAATTTGTGGGGCCTGGAGCTATAGCCCCCCTACCTTTTATCCAGCAATGCACAAGAGGGGTAAGAATAGAGACATCACATTACCCATTTAACTTGAAAAAAAATCAAACAAAATCAAAGCAAAAACTTCTTAATAAAATTCAATAAATTATAAAGAAGACCATACAAACTTAAACTATATGTAAAGATTGTGAAAGTTAACTTGTATATATTATGGTTGTACGAATAGTGCATATAGGTTGAACAAATGAGGGTAAAAGTTTTTAAAGATTTATATTTAAATTGTATCCTTCAACATTAAAACATAAATTTATCTTCAAACAATATAATGTCACAGTAATATATATTTTATCCAAACATTACAAAATCAATTTCATTAAGAAAAATATCTACAATCATAATAGAATTAGAGGAAGATAATAATTAGTGGCATTAGAGCAAAAAACTAAGTTTTTAAAAGCCAAAAACCTAAATATAAAAAAGATTTAAATTAGGTGCTAAAAATAGATTTTAAAAAGTAATCTTTATAATAATTAATAAATTTTTTCTTTAACAAACTCCACAAAGATACATTAAAATCAATTTTATCTACAACTATGCCATGTGGGGTCCATACAACAAAGTATGTAACACTACACTTTGTAGCAGCCATTTGCATCATACATTGGGTGTAATAAGTATGGTTAGTTTTTAGTTTTACATCAACACCCTCTTTTATTAAATATGGTAAATTTAATTCTGTTGGTGCAGTAAAATTAATCTTGTAAGGACATTTCACCTCAATGCATGCATTAGGACAGCAATCACATGACAATATTCAGTCTGGACTTGCTTCAATGTAAGGATGTTCATAATCAAGGTATAGTCCACATTCATTTAAATCAAGATTTTTATGATGTCCTTTCCTTTTTACATAAAACGCATTTAAAGCTTCAACTTTCATCGTACGCTTATATTTTAAGGCTGGAATTTAAGGGTTAGTAAATGTCAGCCCTGATATTTTTTGGTTAAGTGGCCAAAAGTTAAAGCAGCCAACAACAACTTTTTTAATTTTATCCATACTCGTTGCAACCTCATGAGCTTTAGAGGCACTTTTTCGATAGTGATACTAATTTTCATTTTTATTTTGCCCTTGTGTTACTAATTCTATTTGTTTTATATTTTTGGTTGACATGTTTACTTCTAAACCTGTAAAAAGTTCAACACAACACGAAGAGGTAGAAATTAAACTGTCAATGCTTGGCAAATCAAGTGGTGGCATATCAACTGTTGTCAAAACTTTACAAATAAAGTCTATTTTTGGTTTTGGAACAGCAGTAAACAAAATGCTTGTTAGCATGATTTTCTCAAGAGCAGAAGCTACATCATTGACATTAAATAATTGTGCTGTATTATTCCATAGAGAATTATATTTTTCTTTTTTTGTATCTACTAACTTTCTCTTTTTTTTTACCTCTTTTGCCAAAATCTTTATGGCTAAAGTCAAGGTCTTTGATTTTAGAAGGCGCTACTTCTTTTCTAGATGGCAGCCATTCATTTGAAGTGCTTGTACATGCAGGATTAGTTAATCCATTTCTTACCGCAGCTTCCACTCTATACATTGCTGCAGCAACATGGTTACAAGTTTGACCCATGCCAGTTGAAAAGACCCATGTACAATGACAGGCATTAATTTTAGCACTTTTTTCTAATACTAGCCACAGTTTATGATATGTATCATTGATAGATCGTGATCTCTGGCATTCTGATTTAAATATTCAGTAATTACTACCTGTTAAATTATGATACATAAGAGTCTGAAGCCAGGAAGATTTATAGTAGCTGTATGCTTGTGAGTTTTTATAGTCACTTAAGTCATTACTTCCGAATTCTGAGGGATTAAACATTAAATAGTTAAATATATCTGGGTAAAATAACATTAGCCAGAATGGTATACCCTCCTGTTGGTCTGTCCAGCCATCAAGAATTTTGAACGGATCAGGTATCTGCATATCGTCTAATTCCAGTTATAAATTATACTCTTTTTTTAATTCTGCCTCAATTTCTACTGCTGTTTTTATTGGTAGAACATTGTTTTCTATTGCAGCAAATACACGAGCAACTAGCTTTTCTTTTTTATCATTTAAATTTAATCGTCTTAACTTCAAATAGTCTTTTAACTCTTCAACTTTCATCTTTGAAATCATATTGTACTCCATGATTAATTTTATAATTAATATTTGTTTTAGCAGTTTTAGTTAGATGTTTATACTTCGTTAATGAAAAAACATATAAGAAAACTTATTTATTCAACACTGTGCTTTATCAATAAAAACTCATCAGAAATTAATGATTGAATTAATAAAACTTACTTTTATAGAGAAACTTATTTTGATGCTTGCATTTAGAAATCAATTCAGATTTTTTATTTAACAAACATTGTTTTGCATGTGTAATTATTTCAAATTCCTCTTGTACTCTTGAGTGCTGAATACAATGGGGAGTTGGAATAAACGGGTGGGTGGGAATTTTAGACAAAATCTAATAAACGGGGGTGGGGGGTGGTGTTGGGAGGTTTTAATATACAGGGGGGGTAAAGATTTTTTTTTTAATTTCATAAACAAGGGGGAAGTGCATGTTTAATGCCCCCTTGTTTATTCGGCATGCAAATTATGCATGTTCAAGTCAAAAGCACATTTTCTAACAGCTGTTAGGGTAGGATTAGGCTATTTTATCATAATTTCAATAGGATTTAATATGCTGATATAAGTTTTATACTTTGCTAAGTATAAAACTTATATTCAGCATATTAAATCCTATAATTAAAACCAAAGCTTTGTTGAGAAATAAACTAAAAGTTCATTTTAGCAAATCAAGATTTAATAGATTGACAATTTGTAAAACCTGTTTACACTGAAAGTTATTGTTTTTATCGGTGACTGAAAATTATTTTCAAATTTTTAAGGCCGATTTTCAATTAATTTTTTATTTTACTTTTGAGATATAATAATTTTTTTGTTGATAACAAATAAAATTAATAAATGGGGGGTGGGAAAAATATCCAAAAATTAATAAACGAGGGTGGGGGACGTTTATTAGAAACTTGAGAGATTGCATAGTATGCATTTTTTGAAAATGTTTTTTTATGCAGGTGCTGTTTTGAGGATGGACCAATTCATTATAAAATCATCAATATTTTTATAATTTTAATTCACATTCATATTTTGACAGTATGGTGTATTTTAAATACTTTTAATTTTTTTAAGATTGCTTATGATTGGCAAAATGTTTTATCTATTCACTTTCTTTTATGCCGATTTATTGTTTGACAGGTAGATTCTTAAAGCAAACAACACATTTATATACCACATTTTGTGATAAACAAATTCCACTCATTGGACAATTGTTTTTTTTTTTTTTTGCTTACAATTACAATTTTTTGTAGTTTTTTCATTTAGAATTTCTTTTTTAACTAGCATTATTGTGACCTTTTATAATTCTTCGCATATTTTTTGTGCAACTGTAGCCAACTTTAATTGTATTTCGATTAAATTTTAAAGGTAAATTAAAATTTAATGAAAATCGTCCAATTAAATATTAAATGTAATCAATTATTTAATCGAAATTGAGAAATTTTAAAAATACTTTTACTATGTTAGTGGAAACATATTTACTATAAGGTGGGTTGAACCAAATTAGATTTCTTGTTCTATTTCGCTTTTTTGTATTCTGTTTTTTCAGGGTCAAATTTTAGTTCTAAATTTTCAAAACAACTTTTTTATGGGCATCTTCAAATATTCGTTTAGAGGAACTGAATACATTTTTATTAGAGGAGTTTTGGTTTAGCCTAGTATTAAATAACATCGGGATTTGTTTTGGAATTATGAGTGGATGACTAGAGTTAGTATTAACATACAGTAATTCATTTTGAAAGACCTATATGAATTTTCAGAGAGGTATTATGTGACGAGAAAGTTCACAATTTTTCAATTTATGTTTATTTTGATTTAAAAGCCATTATTTTTCAAAATTTTTATATTTTTTCTGATTTTCTCAAGCTGTGGACAGGTTTTTTACGCATTACTTATAAACCATTGTGGCGATAAATCATTTAATGTCGCCTAAATCATTTAAATTGATAATTTTATTTAATAAATCTAAAAATGTATATTCCAACAAGTTCACAAATTTCTGCTCCGTCGTAACTGTCCTTTGTAAATAACAATGAGCAGTTATTTGCAGCAACAAATTTTTTTTAATAAAATGCTCAACTTTCTCAATCAAAGAAATAGTATAACTTTTTTCATCTATATATAGATATATTTTTTAAGAGTGTGTGAAATTATTAGTTTCCATATTTAGGGTCAATAATAAGCAATCCTTTAAAAATAGAAATTTAAAAGACACCATGCTATCAAAATGTATATGGTTACTAAATATAAAAATATTGATGATTTTATACTGAGTGGGTCCGTCCTTACAGCACCTATATATAACAATATTTCAAAAACATGCATACGATGCCTACAATATAAAATTTAAATAATTACACATGCAAAACAAGAATGTTTATCAAATAAAAAAGTTAGAATTGATTTCTAAATGCAGGTATAAAAATAAGTTTCTCCTAAAAAAACTAAAAAAAATTAAGGAAGTTCAAATAATAGTTACATTAAATCCCCATTTTTAAAAAATATTTTTTTTTCAAAGCATAAGTTATCTTTTCTAAAACAATCTTTTTATAATAGTGTCAGCAAATTCCAAAAATGTGTGAAAGTTTACCGTAGTTAAAACGTTTGCGACTTCCTGTAATTTTATTTTTGGTATAAATTGAAGTTTTGCTAATTCTATTATTTATTTCTGATGAGTCTTTATTGATGAAACACAGTGTACAATGAAATAAATTTTTGTTAAGTGATTTTCTACTAATTTACAATTGCTCTATTTTTTTAAGAACTTTGTGCATTCTATTTTAAAGAATATATTTACAATTATATATATATATATATATATATATATATATATATATATATATATATATATATATATATATATAATTTGTTATTGCTGTAATTTTTAAGAACATTGAGCACTAAGAGGGATCAGAGCATTTGGAATTAGATTTCACTAAAATGGTTTACTCTATATCTCCTAAACAAGATAGAGGTTGTTCTTATTAATGTCAATAAATCTTTTTTAAAGAATTGCTCAAATGGTATCCCACAAGGTTTAGTTTTAACACCACTTTAATACTTCTTTGAAATTTGTAACATATGCGAATGTGAAAATTTGCTTACTTTACAGTTTTGCTTACAAATTGCAAATTTGCTTACCATTTTGTTGATTATACTGACGTGCTACTGGCTGAATCAATTTTTAATTATTTGTTTAAAAAATGCAATTAAATATTTCTATAAATTAATATTAAAATTCTTTATTAAAAACTATCAATTCATGATTCTTCAGTTTTTAATTTAATATTTTTAACACTTTAAAATACTTTACTTATCCATCTACATCTAATTCCTGTGGTTTTCTTTTTGCCATTAAATTTTTTATTCTAATATTAATAATATTAAGACTTATATTTTGACATTCTTTATTTATTTTTCTGCTTATTTATCTCTTCATTCAATTATTCTCTACTTCCTATTAAATCTTTGTTGTTGCTGTCATTATTTAATATGTTTTTGTTGCTGCAGTTTTTGTTTCTTTTTTTGAAATTCTACGTTTATTATAATTGTTACCATTATTGTTGTTGTTACTATTATTGTTGTTATTGTTATTATTGTTTGATGATAGATAAATACAAGTTTTTTTTAAAAAAAACTTGTATATATCTATCATCAATTGTTATTATTATTGTTGTTATTATTAATATTATAATAAATTATGTTATTGATATCAGTTATTATTACTATTTTCATTATGGACTAAAACATTATGTTGTATATTTAGGTATTTACATTATATTAGTACTTGTACTATTGTAAATTTTCTTAAAACTTTCAATATTATTTTGAAACTTATTTCGAAATATATTTGATTTAATATATATATATATATATATATATATATATATATATATATATATATATATATATATATATATATATATATATATATATACATATATACATATATACATATATATATTTATATATAAATTTATATATATATATATATATATATATATATATATATATATATATATATATATATATATATATATATATATATATATATATATATATATATATATATATATATATATATACACATATATATATATATATATATATATATATATACACATCTTAATGCATGGATAATAACTCTTTTAGGTTTATATTGCTGAAGTATCAACAGCTCGTTTACGCAGTATAGTGGGTGCCATAACTTATTATGCAATAGTGTTTGGAATATTTTTATTTTGGTTAAGTGTTATTTTGACCCGTGAACCTAATGTAAACAACCAACTTATTAATCGTGTTATACATCCTATTATATGTAGTTTTAAGGATCATTATAACTTAACTAACTTGAACAACCAACTTCAAGTTTGTAATATATATAATTCAAAGAATCAATATAATTTAACCATCCATCAATTTTATGCTGTAGTTGGGTTTTTTCTGAGTCTGCTAAGCTTTTTAATGATTTTTATGCCAGAAACGCCATGGTGGCTTTTAGCTCATAATCAAAAAGAAAAAGCTTTAAAAAACCTGTTGTGGATTCTTGGTAGTAATTCTGATGCAGAAGATACATGCAATCAAATTGAAATAAATTTAGGTGTAAATTTAATTTAGAACTTTAACATTTTTTTACGTTTTATTTTTATTTATTTTATAATTATCTCGCTGAACACAAAATATATAGAAACAGTTATAAGGCCTAAAAATACAAATAATTCAAACTTCACTTAATCACTTTAACACTTGGAAATTTTGTTACAGTTTCAGCTGAAAATCGATATTTTTAAAAAATAACTTTATCCTAAATATTATATATCTTTAAAGTTATAAAAAATATATTTATTGTTTTAAGCAAATTAAGTAGTTTATATATTTTGAGCCTTAAATGAGGTTACAACGAAACCATTTAAATTTAGGTGAGTTTTTTATATGTTTTAATTTTTTTTACATTATTTTAGTTATTTGCTTCTTATCAAAATGTTTATCACAGAAAAAAGTTGTAATCAAAATGCTAAAATTTAAAAGTTTTTCTTAATAATATATTTAAAAATAAAAAGTTTTGAAATTTTTTTAAATTTTTAAAAGTAAAATTTTTAACAATTGTTTTAACGGAAGCATTACTTAAAGGTTTGTTGATTTATTTAGTTCTCAAACAATCAATTCTCGCGGTTGTCGCAACTATATGATTTACCATTTAATTTAAACATTTGTACGTTTATCTTAATTACTAATTAATTTGTCAAAACCTATTTCAAAGTTTTGTGCTGAACTAAAACGTGTTTTAGTTTGGTAATTTTATCCTTACATACATGCATAAATACATACATACATACATACATACATACATACATACATACATACATACATACATACATACATACATACATACATACATACATACATACATACATACATACATACATATATACATACATAGTATGTATGTAAAATAAATAAATAAAAATATTTATAAAAAAATAATTAAATAAAAATATTTATTAATCTGTGTATGTACGTAGGTATGTTTTTATGTATGTATGTATGTATGCATGCATGTATGTATGCATGTATGTATGTATTTATGTATGCATGCATGTATGTATGTATGTATGTATGTATGTATGTATGTATTACATACATACATACATACATACATACATACATACATACATACATACATACATACATACATACATAAAACATGCATACATACATGCATGCATACATACATACATACATACATACATACATACATACATACATACATACATACATACATACATAAAAACATACCTACGTTCATACACAGATTAATAAATATTTTTATTTATTTTAGCTCATCGGCATATAGCATCTGTTAACGATTTTCGTACACCTGGATTGTATCGTCCTCTCTTAATTGGAATCTTGATAATTTTTATTCATAAGTTAAGTTTTATTGCATACATTGGTGATGTGTTTGATTTTTTTTCAAATAACTCTGGTTCTAGCAATAAAATGTTTAAAATTTGCTTTATAGTGCAGTTTATATTCGGACTAATGGGGTGCTTCATAGTTAACAGATTTTCTCGCAGATATCTTCTTTTATTTGGGAGTGGTATTTTTTGTCTTAGTAGCATTGGACTTTTATCCCATTGTCTAAGTAGTAAACATTGCTCTCTCCAAAATATTGATCAACGATATTGGTTAGCATACCTCATCATAAGTGCAACAATTTTTACCTTTACATGGGGACCATTACCATGGATTATAGTTTCGGAGGTAATACCGTCTCGTGCTTGTGGACTTCTTGGTGGTATCATAAAGGCAACTACTTGGCTATTAACAATTTTTATTCAAGCACTTTATGCAGGTCCTGCTTCAACTGATGTAGTTGCGTATCTTTGCTTTTCAACAGTTTTATTTTTTCTCAGTATACTTTTTGTTTACTATATTGTACCTGAAACGAAAAATTTTACTTTAGAAGAAATCGAACATTACTATATTATTAACCGTGGCTTTCGAAATTATTTGCTTTAAAATTCACCAATTGTTTGCTTGCCATTTTCTCCACTAAACTATATAAATGTTACAAGAATGCTGGGTTTTGAATATGCACTTGGTTTTCTCTTTCACGATTATTGCATAATTTCTTAACTTTTTTTAATTTATACTTATATAACTGTATGTTTAAATTACTATAAGTGTATAAATTTAATAAATATGTTTTAATAACTATAAGTGTATAAATAAAGGTATCTGTGGTAAAGGTACAGATTGTGAAACAGGTACAAAATACATGTACCACTGCAAATCCACTACAAATTTTATATTTAAACTATAACTGTTTAACTGATGTTTTATCATATTTTTGTAACGGTTTTTCATATACTTAATAAATAGTATTCTTTAAATAATTGAGTTAGTTTGTTTTTTTGATAACTATTAGAAGAACTTTATGAAAGCATTTTTTTGTGACATAATAAGATTATTATTAAAAGAAAACATAATTATTAATAAATTCTAAGCTTAATATAGACCAGGGATGGCCAAATGGCGGCTCGCGAGCCGCATGCGGCTCTTGGAATGTTAAGGCGGCTCGCGAGCCGCATACGGCTTTTTTCCAAATTGTTATATGCTAATATATTTCCATATAATTATTTCCATCATTCTTATTGTCTTAAAACTTGCAAAAATGGATAAAGTAAAAGTTAACACTAGTTTGCTTCGCAAAATAAGGCGGAAAAGAAAAATTAAATACGAAAACAGAATATTTCATAATGATTGGACAGAAAAATATGCATTTATTGAAAGAAACAATAAACCTATGTGTTTAATTTGCAATATAGAACTTGCTCATAACAAGACATGCAATGTTAAACGTCATTATGAAACAAAACATAAACAATTTTCTGAAGAATATCCGTTATGTTCAAATTACAGAAAGAATAAAATTGAATTGCTCAAAACGAAAAATAAAAATCAACAACTAAATATTTCATCTTACAGCCAAGAATCAATTAATACAACAGAAGCAAGTTTTGTTATAGCATGGAATATTGCCAGAGGTAAACATCCTTATACCGATGGAGAATTTGTAAAGCAAAACATTTCAGATGTCCTGTCGGTTTTAGATCCTAGTAATAGCAAAATCCAAAGATTAGTATCACAAATTCCTATTTCTCGACATACAACCGAAAGAAGAATATCTGAGATTAGTATTGATGTTGAACAGCAATTACTAAACGATTTAAAAAACTGTGAAGCATTTAGTTTAGCTGTAGATGAATCAACAGATATTCAAGACAAGCCTCAAATAGCTGTATTCGTTAGATATGTGACTTCAGACGTAATTGTAAAAGAAGAGTTACTAGATTTAGTTGAGTTGAAAGACACAACTCGTGGAGTTGATATCAAGGAAGCCCTTGACAAAGCTCTGCTTAAAGCTAATGTACCTATCAACAAGCTTGTTAGTGTTGCTACAGATGGTGCATCAGCAATGGCTGGAAAACATTTAGGACTTATAGGCTTATTAAAAAGTGACCCTAAGTATCCAGAATTTATCCCAATTCATTGTGTTGTTCATCGAGAACATTTAGCTGCAAAACATTTTAACTTTCCAATTGTTTTTAAATCTGTTTTAAAGATTGTAAATTATATTCGAGCAAATGCAAAAAATCACAGACAGTTTAGAAACTTTATAAATGAATTGGATCTTGCTGACGAGCCAAGTGACGTGTCATTTTTCTGTTCTGTAAGATGGCTTTCAAGTAGTGACGTTTTTTATAGATTTGTAGAACTATTAGAGCCAATTAAATGTTTTTTGATTGAAAAAGAAAAGACATTTGAAATCCTAGACGATATAAATTTTGTGCAAGATCTTTTATTTTTGACTGATATAATGCAACATTTAAAAAGTCTGAATTTGTTTCTTCAGGGAAAAGAAAAAAATATATCTGATCTTGCACAAACGATATTTAGTTTTCAAAAAAAAATTATTCTTTTTCAGAAAGATCTTAGCTTGAAAAAATTTAATCATTTTCCTCAAATGAAGAAGATGATTACTTCTAATCCTTCAATTCAGTATGATGACGATAAGATTGAATCATACTTGGACAAACTAAAGGATTTACAAAAAGACTTTCAAAAAAGGTTTAAAGATTTGCATGAACTAAAATCTTCTTTAGGATTTATAGTAAATCCTTTTTTAATTAATATTATTAGTAATGACTGTCCAATTCCTGAAAAAATGCTTGAAGATATATCTCAATTTGAAATGGAACTACTAGATCTCCAAGAAGATCAAAATCTACTTATGCTGCATAAAACAATAACTTTTATGGAATTTTGGAAGATAGTTCCCGAGGTTAAGTATCCTCAACTTAAAAAGATTGCCATAAAATTCATTTCAATTTTTGGTTCAACGTATACATGTGAATCTTTATTCTCTACTATGAAATTTGTCAAATCAAAGTATCGTGCAAATCTAACCAACGAGCATTTGTCTGAATTACTTAGAACAGCCACTACAAGTTTGAAACCAGATTTTAAGAAACTTACCAGTAAAGTTATGAGTATTAGTTTGATCAAAGTAAAAAATTGATAAAATGATGAAAAAGTTATTTCTTGATTGTAAAAATCAAGTAAAATAATCTAATTTTAGTGTTGGTTTTTCAATTATTATTTCATTGATATAAGCATTGTTATAATTTTGTTAATCAAAAAAAAGTTTATGATCAGCATGCGCTTGTGCAAAAATCTATCATAAAAAAGATCAGTGTGTTGCACAGCACATGGCCAGTGTGTTGCACAGCACCTAATCGTGTGCTGTGCAAAATCAGTGTGATCATGTGATTGTCGAAAACTATAGAAATGATTTTTTAGTCTGAAGGGAATTTTATAAAATAAATCAGATATAATGGCATTGTAAACAAAATCTTTAAAGGAATAGTTTTTTCTTTAAAAAATTTATTGAGTGTTTTAAAACAATTAACTGAATTCAATTGTATACATATTTTACTTAAATCTTTAAAAAATGATATTTTGTATCCAAGAAATATCTAAATTTCATATTAAAATGATATTGTTGAATAGTGATACAACAATTATTTCTACCCCTTAGGAGCATATGGAATTTCCTAAATAATTTGTATTTTCTAAAAATATTTCTTTAAAAAATGATTTTAAATAGTGAATTACAAATTGTTGTTTTTATATGAAACCAAGAAAATGGGCTAGTACTAGAAATTTCTTATTTTTTGGGTAGTTTTTTTACTTATCTAGTACGAAAGTCTCTTAAAATTCAGATAATCAAAAGAAAGAGAATAAAAGTTTCTTATATAAAAAAACAAACATGAAGTTGTTGCGGCTCTTCGGCTCACGTAAGTATATAAATGCGGCTCTTGTGACAAAACGTTTGGCCAGCGCTGATATAGACCATAAATAAAAAAAAAGTAATAGAAGATAAGTGTTATTTTTACATAAATAAATAGAGTAATTAAATAAAAATCTAGGTTAATTAATTTACACTTTGATATTGATTTTTGTAACATTGACACTAGTGTCTTAAGTAAAAAATAATTTACAGAAATTAAGCCTTTTATAGTGACAAGTATTACGGCAGGGCTTAATTTAACAGTCGGACATTAGACATTGTCCGGCTAAAACCAGATCAGTTTACAAAGTCATCGGACATTTTGTCCGGCGGGATTTTTAATTCTTTAAAATAAAATTTTATTCGTTGATTTGAAAATGACAAATTTAAACTTAATGTAAACTATTAGACAAACTTACAAAATATGTTGATAATAGAGGCATTCATTTCCAAAAAAAAGCGCTGTTATTAATTGTAGTTTTAATGACTGTTTTTTAACAGTTTTATTGTTATATTAAATTTAAAATTGTTGCTTATTTAAAACGATCGCAAAATGAATATTATGAAAAATATTATGAGCAAATTAACTTAGAAAAAGCGCCTAATCTAAGAAATGTTGCATTATTAAATTCTACTGATATAAGTCAAAGTATGTTCGATTGATTACTGCAAACGCTGTGGACACCGAAAAGCAAAGAAAAGCTGACAGTTTAATAAATTTGATAATAAAAGATTTATATAAATATATATATATATATATATATATATATATATATATATATATATATATATATATATATATATATGTATATATATATATATATATATATATATATATATATATATATATATATATATATATATATATATATATATATATATATATATATATATATATATATATATATATATATTATATATATATATGTATATATATATATATATATATATATATATATATATATATATATATATATATATATATATATATATATATATATATATATATATATTTATTATTATATATAAATATATATGTATGTATGTATATATATTTATATATATATATATATATATATATATATATATATATATATATATATATATATATATATATATATATATATATATATATATATTATATAGCTTATAAGTGTACCCAATATAGACCTTATTAACTTCGTTGTGCATTTTTTTGTTTAATGGTTAATTTTTCTTAAAACATATAAAATATATTTTTGTAATTTTATACAATTTATTTAATGCTTCATTTTAATTAGTGTTAAGGCAAATTAAGTCTCGTACATCCAAGCTGCAATATGTATATATATATATATATATATATATATATATATATATATATATATATATATATATATATATATATATATATATATATATATATATATATATATATATATATATATATATATATATATATATATATATACACACACACACATACATATATATCTGAGTTATGAGCAGTGTGACGTTAAGCTGACCAACGTGTTCCTTTTTATGTAGGAGAGCGCCACAAAAATTGATATATTAATTAGGTTTGGTGCTGTGTTCTTCTACATAAAAATAAGTACGTTGGACGTTATATGAAAATAGCCTGCTGCTGGGGGCTTCAGTACATAAATCGACTGATAAATAGCCTTACTTGTAGTAGAGTGATGCTACATAGCCTAAGGGTTTTGGGATAGGGCAGCAACCGTTTCACTTATTATTCATTATTTTATTAAACTTATTGTTGTTTTTGATGTTACTTACTTATTTGGTAAATTGTTCTAATAAAGCATTGTAGTTGTTGTAATTCTCTGATATTTGAAAATAGAAAAACCTTTTAGAGTAAAAGAAAATGTTTTCGAGTTTAGATGTTATTAACACCAGTTTACTTTGTTTAAATTATTTTTTAATTTTAAAATATTGAAGGAGGTCCTCAATAATTCTTTTTGTTTCAAGACATTGTTACCCTAAGCTTGATAAATGTCTTTATATTAAATCAGATTTAAACCTGGTACAAGCTTTGTACCTCTTTGCTAGTCTCTTTTGAGTATTTTATTTTATTTTTCAAAAGTGGATTCAAACTGGTGCACAAAATTCTAATTCAGGTTAACATAGTTTTGTAAACGAGTCAGTTGACCAGAATTTAAATGTCAGAATTTAGTGTACCTAGTTTTGAGTAAATTTTTTTAGTTAATGTTGTGATGTAGTCTTTCCATTTTAAATTATTATTTACATTGAGGACTAGGTCTTGTTTCAGTTTGTTTTATTTAATTTGATGATTGTTTCATCGTGGGTTGTGTATATAATTATTTATATATACATGTATACATTTTATTATAATGAGTACATGATGCGTACACGAACCAGCGAAAAAACGGCAGAAAATTCAATTAGATCAGATCGACCAAGGAAAACAACTGCAAGAAATGATAGACTTATCGTTAGAACATCGGTTAAAACGCCAAACATGAGTTCAATGGAACTTAAAAACAAATTAAATTTGGCTATTAGTCCTCAAACAATTAGAAGACTTCTAAATGATGTCGGATTATACGGTAGAGCGATGGGAAAAAAACAATTCATCTTTATAAATAATCAAAGAAAGAGGCTGGCGTTTGCTAAAATGCATATAAAGTTGCCACTCAAAGTCTGGAAATCTGTTATTTGGAAAGACAAATTCAATTTTGAACTCCAATCGACAAAGAGAAGAAGAGCGGTCTTTAGAAAAAAAAAAGTGGAGTTTTTAATGCAACATATGATACCTACTTTATATATATTTAAAAAAATTTGGAAATGGATACCTTTTCTTGAAGTCGGTTCAATTGGAAATACAGCTGTTTCTGAAAAATTAATAGTAAAAATATGACATATAAATGATAGTCAAGAATATTAGCAGGAGATTGGTCAAAACATTATACTCAGAAATAATTATTTTTATTAACAAAAAAAAAAGTTTTAATCATCTTAAAACGGTTAAATTAAACGATCACAAATTATAAAACTAGTTAATCATAATTTATCTATATATCATCTAGATAAGTCTAGAAAGTCTAGAAATATATATATATATATATTTATATATATATATATATATATATATATATATATATATATATATATATATATATATATATATATATATATATATAGGTACGCGCACTGAAATTTTTAAATTAATCATATAGTAGAATGTTATATATCATTAGAAAGGCCTTTAATACAGTATTTTAAAGGTGAAAAAATTATTAAAAACGAACAATTCTAAAAAAAGTTATAACGTTTTAGTTATTAGACTTTAGTTTTCCTAATTCCGAGGGATGATATACTTATACATACTATATATTTCAACCCGTTAAAATTTCAAGCTTGGTAGGTCTTTCATAACATAATAAAATAAATAAAAAATAATGCTATAAATATTTCAATAGCTTTTAGATATAGAGCATAAGATAAAAACTAAACAATTTAAACTCTCTTTTAACTTAAAAACTTTAAAGACTGGAACCAATCATCAACGTACCTTTTAAATATAACAGGAATTACCTTTAATCTTACATTAATTTTTAAGCGTTGAATTTTTACAAATAGCTTTTCAGAAGCTTGAGCAATTAGATTATGATTTAAAAGGTAAATATCTGACAGACGTTTAACTATTAGAATCATATCTAAAAGTACAGAGTTAGCACTTTATCTTGTGATTTCTAAAAGAATAATTATTAGTTTTAAAAACCACTGCAGTTTTTATTTACAGAATGATCTTTACATAAATAGCCATTAACTTAATTATTATTTTAGGAAAATCTAAATTTTAAAGAATTAAAAACGTCACAAAATCAACTCACCATTTGTATGTGTACTTGGCTGTTTCCTGCTGCTTTAATTGTTGTTGCAACTGACTGGACTGTATATAAAATATTAAATAAAATTAAACACACAAAACTTAACAATAAAAAATATATTTATGCGGATTTAAAAAAATTATGTAATATAGCTATATATATTATTGTTCAAACCATGTTAACTTTTCTACTAAAGAGAAAATAAATGATACAATTTAATAATCATATCAGACATAAGTAAATTTATTTTCTCTTTAATGGTTATCAAATAGGAGTATGAATAATACTTAAATTTTTTAAAAATATTTTTTAGTTTACATTAAAAGCCTTCACTAAAACTGAAGATCCATTATATAAGTATTTTAACCTCACAATTTTTAATTGGCACTGACTGCACTAAAAGTATAAATATTATAACATTGCTATTCGATCAATATAACATCTATCATAAACAAATAGATGTTAGGTCTTAATATAAACAAAAAATAATAATTTTATTTAGTTATTTAAAAAGTAGCTACGACTTAAAATGCATAATTTTCCTCTGAAACTTTTAGAGAAAATTTATGCATTTTAAGTAATATTTTAGCGTTGTTAAAAACCGAACAGAAAAAACAATTTAAGAAATAGTTTAAAAAGATGCTGACATTGCTACTTTTTTGAAACTACAGCTACTTTTTTGAAACTGCTATTTTAGTAGCTATAACTAAAAAAAAGAATTATCAAAATATATTGTTACTGTACTTAAAATTACTTTTAATTGCTCATTAGGGTACAGCGAATTTTTTTTTTTTTTTTTAAAAAAGCTTAGGAAAAGGTGTACTTTTATGTAAAATCAAATTTTAAAGAGGGTTTCTTAAAAAAAAATTTTGATCGGAAAAAGTTTTGATACCCAAATATGGACTTTTAGAAATAGCAAAAATTAGTAAAATCTAATTTGTCACATGTCCTTATTCATTTTCAATGCGATAAAATATTAAATGCAAATAATATTTTTAGATTATTGTTAGTTTTTTAGATTTTTTAGACTTTTTAAAATCATTATCTTGCATGGATCCTATCTGCAGTGCAGATTCTGCATTTTTTAGAGGGAGGAGGAGGGGGTATTCAATTTTTTATGAGGTTCTAATGATTAAAAAATTTGATCATAACAGTTCTTTATACTTTCACCAAAAAATAGGTGGTTTATCCCCCTATCTTACCCCAATAATATTTTGATAGAACTACTAAAACACTATTAAAAAACAAATAAAATAAAAATCTATTGAAGTTAAAAATTTAATAAAATTTCTTTCTTTGTTTTAAAAACAGGTAGCAACTCTCTATGCTGAGCTCTAGCTCTAATATACCCATCTCTTGCATATGGTCCAACTACTAACATGGATGCTACTGTCACTTGTTTTACAGCACGTTCAGTACTTTGAGTATGAATTTTAATCAAAGGAGTTATTAAAGGTATCAATCTAAGTAATAACAACTTATCTCTGGTGAGCGAACAAGTAAAAACAGGTTCTTCTACAACACAATTTTCCCATTTAACTAGCTCTTGAAGAGTAGTTGCTGCAAAGTTAAGTTTAGGTGTTTTTCTTGGTCTGATTCGCATATCTCCAAGAATATCATTACCCCTTAGTTTCAAAATTTGATCAACTGCAAAATTGCGATCTTCTGCATTATTACTAGATAATAAAGAGATTAGTATACTTTCATGATTCGCATACCAAGCCCCTTACTGGATGTAGAGAAACACTTTTTTTTTTACTCTATCAGGTTGCATTCTAAGAATTCTCAATTGAGACAGAATATGATAAGAAGTATCTTCAAGTCTGTTTTTGATCTTTATGTCAAAAAAAAGTTTAAAGTAAAATTGTAAACAAAATACAACAAGTATTTCTAGATTTTGCGAATTTTGATCATTTAAGTTGTGTTTTCTTGTCCACATAAAGACTATTCTCATGCCAGTAGTGAGCCATCTGGCATGACTTAAGGGGCCACATTGAATTTCTCTAAGATTAGGTGGCAATAAACCAATCTTAACTGCTTTACATAGCTTGTAACATTGTTTCTGATCTGTTGACATATTTTTAAATATTGTTTCTGGAATGTCAACAAAGCTCTCTCCATTTGGAAGAGCTTTAAATTGAGGGTTATACTCCATTTTATTAACATCAGGAAAAAATTTTCCCACAGGACCTACAAATCCAGTACTACATGATGTTGGTCCATCAATGCCTTCTATAAGGTGACGCAAAAATAATTCATTCGAATGAAGCATGCATATAGCCCAGTGGCACTTGCGACCTAACAGCTTTTCTAGATGCGTTATAGCACCACCTTTCCAGCCTGTGTTAATTGAAGTACTGTCAGCTCCAAGTACTAAACATGATTCAGTAAGATTATATTGTTGCAGCAAATTATAAACACCTTCAGCAATCTTTTTAGCTGGCTTATCTAGATGATTAGGTGCATTTGGGGTAAAATGGCCAAGATATCGACCACCAGGTTCTATAGTCACAGTAATGTGCTGCTCTTTGATAATAATAGGATGTATTTGATAATAATAGGATGTTCATTTGAATTATTTATTATTACTCTTGTTGAATCTTTCCTTCCGTCAAAGTAAATGGCAATATTATCTGCTTTCGGAAGTTTTAAATTATCATTTTTCTTCGCAACTACCATCACCTTTTTTCTCTCTCTCGTCAACTTAGAAGGATCACAAGCAAGGTAAGAGGACTTAGGGGTGAGAAATCCTGCTTCAATTAAATCTTGAAGATATCTTGTAGCAATTGCTGCGGTTGCGACAGGTGAAATCCCAAACCTATAAAATAAGAATGGTTTATATTTATTTCTATTAACTCATGTTGCTGCTCAACAAAACAAAAGTCAATATAATTACCTTATACTAGCTATAGCTGTGTTTTTTATTGGCATTGTGTTATATCTTGACTTCTTTTCTAAAATTAGTGTTACAAGGAAAGCATAGACACCTAACTTTTTATTGTTTTTGTGTTTTGAATATTTAATTTGCGTTGAAGAGCTAAAACAATCATTAGAGCGGAACAAATAAATTTAAAACAGCATTTCAACACAAATTATTATATAGAAAACTAAGAAAATTATAAAATCGAAATAATAAAATAATATGGGTCAGCAACCTTTTCGTTCATTATTCTTCGTTTTCCCTCATCGTTTTCTAAAAATGCTTACTTAATTTAGGCTAGCAAAAAAAGTGAGCAATTGCGCATATAAATATGCTATAGTAGATATATATAAAAGATATGTGTATAAAGAGAAACAAAGCAATATCTGCTAAATAGAGAAGAAGAAATTTAATTGTTTACAATAAATAACAGTATTCAGGCACCACTCTTAATTAGAAATTTAAGGCTGTCCCACTTCCCCCGCATCCCATTTCTCCCCATTTTTCCTTATAATAGAGCAAGAACCCATGGCTGCCAGACCACCTAAAAAGCGTAATTTTCTTACATTTGTTTTTTTATTGGATTTAGAAATCATGCCATTTATTCCCAGACACTTATTAGGTTGTCAACCCCTTGCCAGGCACCCTTTAACTTTGAAATTATTATTAAAATTGTAACTTTGTAATTATTATTAAAAATATATTGGCAGTTTTATATCTAAAAACTTTCTAGCGAAAACCTTTAACCGAAAATAATTGCGTTAAAAAAAAGTACTGGTTTCTACTAACATTTATTAACGGTTAGAATCTAAGATAAAAATTATAATAAAAACGAAGTTAAAAAATGGTTTTAATACTATTTTGTTCAAAATAAAAAAACAAAATAGCTATTAAAATTATTTTTTAACTTTATATTTATTACAATTTTTGTCTTCGAATTTAACTGTTATAAATACTAATAGCAACTAGTATTTTTTTTATCTTAAGTGTCTTTAACTAGTCAAACCCACCATGATCTAAAGTACATAGTTGACGTTTCTACTTGTGTTAAGAGTATTCGCTAAGAAGTTAGTATCTATTTATAAACATTTCTGATGAGTCTTTGTTAAAAAAACACAGTGTAAAATTAAAAAAAATTTTGTTAAGTGTTTTTCTACTAATATATATATATATATATATATATATATATATATATATATATATATATATATATATATATATATATATATATATATATATATATATATACCCAGCCAACATTGACATACGGGTACCGTACGGGCCCATACGGGTCGTCAACTGGGTCCCGTATGGGAAGACCAAAAGTATACCGCTAGATCATGACCGCGGTTTCCATATGGGACCCATATGGGTTAGCCCGCCGGGTATCCCGTATGGGTCCCTGTCAAATCCCGTACTTTAAAACCGTAAGAGACCCATTTGGGTTTGCAAATGGGGCCCATATGGTAAACCCATCGGGAACCCGCCGGATCATGGCCGCGGTTTTCTTCTGGGGCCCATATGGGTATGCCCGCCGGGTATCCCGTGAGGGTCCCACGAGGTTTTCCCATTGCAAATCTTGCAAAACTACGTTTAAAGGTTTAAAATTTACAGGAAAAGTAAATTTATATACAAATTGAATGGTTTATTTCAAAAAATATAGTAATTAAAATTACACTGTCAAAATTAAGCAAACTTTTAAACGATTCTTTAATCATGTATCAAATGCTTTCACGTTTATCTCGGGATTCGGAAGCTTTTCCATTGTTGTTAAAACGACTTCTTTGAAAACCTCATTACACAATATCTCGCTTCAATATGAACTGTAAAAAATTAGGTTTAACTGTTAGTTTTAAACTTTATTGGTAACACATACATTAATTTTAATATATTATAAAACTCTTACCGTTTCTCCCAATTCTCTTCAGATAAAACATGTAATTTTCACCATCAAAGGTACTTGTAATAGATAAGCACATGCTTATGATTCATATTCCTTTAGTTACTGATAAATAAATTATATAAAGTTATTAAATAAATATAAATTTTTATTTATATTGTATATAATTTGATATATATTGTATATACCTTATATACAGTGCCATGGCTACTAGATACAAGCCCCCCATTCCAAAAAAAACCTGTCATAAGGGCCCTAAAATTCCTAAAATTTTTTCCAATAGATAAACAAAATCTAAATAAAAATCCTAAAAAAAAAAAATCCTGCAAATGAGCCTCTAGACAAATATCTTTTAATTGACCTGAAAAAGTTTTGTATTTGAAAGAGGGACATCTATTAAGTACCTAAAATTTAACTGTATTATTTCCTATATGTGCTAATGAATGGACATTGTACACTAGTTGATCCTTATGATAAAGTTCACATATAAAAATAAGTAGCTGAAAAGCAAAATTAACATATTTTTTCAACAAAATGAAACATTATGAAAGTAGAACTACAACTGAAAAATCTAAAAAATTGAATAAATTTTTGGCTAAACCATTCCCTTTAAACAACTGGTCAAGTGTATACTTTAAATAGTCTAAGCTCAGTTGTCTTCCATTTTTTAATATCTAATTAAGACCTTGATTTTCTAGAAAAATTTCTTGGAATGTAATGACGTATCTGGAACAATCCGCCAGATAAAGTATTGACTGTAATCTGAGACAATTTACAACATTTGGGCATTTTAACCATAAGTTGAGAAATCTTTGCATTACCCCTAAGCATACTCATATGATAACAGCAAGATTGATTTTAAACTCAATATTTTTATAGATAAAACCATCTTTAGCAAGAACTTTGAAATCTACCAAAAAATTATGTAGACAATTAAGGTGACCTGGTATTCTCATTTACTGAGTTTTTTTACTCTTTTTTCACAAACCGTACCTTTTTCAAATCCTATACTCTGAAAGTACTCATTTATATAATTTTGTACTCATTTGTAATTCTAAAATATTTCTTTTAATATTATTTCAATTCAATTTTATTAATTAAATATTTAAAATTATTTTGACAGTGATTTGAATTTCATGCGCACATATTGCTTGCCGTTTCCAGCACGTCAGAGGACAGGGCAAACACCAGATACAAGTTTGACAGTGATTTAAATTTTGAACGCACATATGGCTGCCATTTTCAACACAATTGAGAGGCCGTATTATGAACCTGGAGAGATAGATAGATACTACAAACCTCTTTTTCTAACAATGTCAAAACTACATTTTTGAAAAGAGATGGACCCAACATTTGCATATGTAATCCCCAGGCTGATCTTTGATGTGCAGTATGTACGCCATGCTTGACAGTCTTGACGCATGCGTAGTATGTACAGCAAATTTTTTTATCCATTTATTTAATTAAATAAAAGGATAACAAAAACCTTACTGTACAAACTACGCATGCGCTTATGGTTAATTAATCATAAAATCAAAACTTACAAACTTAATTATAACTTACAAATTTATGTTCGGTGTCACTCATATTAAAAACAAGTCAATGGAGCAACACCTTCATAAAATAAACAAATAAAATAAAAAATAATAAGAAAGAAAGAAAACTACATTAATACAAGTAATAAAAAAAGAAGTATAAGGAACAATACTATTTAAAAAGTTGGAATTAACACAAAAATATAAAAGAGTAACGCTAAGAAAAATGAAAAAAAAAAGAGAAAATGAATGGATGAGATAAAATGAGTGAGAAAATATGTAAGAGAAAACAAAAATATAAAAAAAACAAATTAAAGGCGAATTTAAATAAAAAAATATATACATACACTACTATATACAATATTAAAGGCTATATTAAAGCCTATAAACTGACCGCTTTGGAAGATTCCAATCCAGGAAAAAAAAAAATTATTAAAAAAAGTTATAAATTTTTATAAAATTTGCTATGAATATATCGAATAATGGATAATGAACTTTGGAGCATTGAATTGTTTTAAATGGACCCTTATAAATAGTAAAATTTAATGGAAAAAGGTTTCTTTAGCAGTCGAATTTGTAATAAAGGAAGTAAAAGATATTGTTATTAATGGCAATTTTCTTTTTGAAGAAATCGGAAGAATAAATTTATTTTTAAATAAAGAAAAATTAAAGAAATGGAACAATGAGAAAATAGAACTTGAAAAAAGATGGGTAGAAATCGTTCGGCATTTTAGATTAGAACATATCCCACATAAAAATTTAAAAGTTTTAACAGAAATTTCTTTATGTTGTCCTGGCACTAATGCTGCTGTTGAAAAGGTATTTTCACTAAGGAATGATTATTAACGCAGTGAGAAGTTTTTGTAAAAACATTATATGCCGTCTTAACAGTCAAATTTAATATGAAATTTAATACGTTTGGATGCAGCTACATTATTAGACGAACATCCTCATCTAGCAAAAAAAATCCACTCTGACGAAAAATATGTTTTAAAAAATAAATAAAGTTTTTTATCGTTTTATCTACCTTTTTTTTTTACCTTTTTACCTATGAAATACTTGCAAAGTGTACTCTTTTTGAACAAAAGATAGTTGGTCCCCTTAAGATAATTAAAAATGGAATTAGATTTTTGGGCACCACTTTTTAAACAAATTTCTAAAAATTTACATGTATGTTTAAATTTTGTCACTATTTTAGATTTTCATTGAATAAATTCCTATATAAAAATATATTTTATATAAAATATTTATGGAGTATTATTCTCTTTTACTATCAGCTATCAAGATAATTAAACTGACTTGATCAGCTTCAGCATTAATGTGAAGCTAATGAGTTTATAGCTGAAGCTGAAATATCAGCTGCAACCCCTACTTTTTAGACAACATAGTCAATGTGATGTATATACATTATAATAATAAATATGTTTTTTTTTTATACTCAAATACTTATTTTTTTATTTTATGATACATTTAAATTTTGTTTTTTTAAACACATGTTTTTTTATAATATTTAATACTTAGGAAATACTGACTTTTGCCGAATAATCTTTAGATAAAAATAATATTTACTTACATTACTCTAATCGAGGTTATAAACAACGGTAATATTTACTCAAGTTATTATATTTGTCCCCCAAAGTTAATGTAGCTCTATTATACATAAGTCTCTCACTAATTCTAATAATAAAAAGTTATTGCCATTATTACTATAACTATATTTACTAACCTGTAATTATTAATATTTATCAAAAACATATTCTGGTTGTTGAAGTCACTTTTACTCATATCAATATGCAAATATTGTCAACAGTCAGAGTGCACCATGCAAAAATATTCTTTAACATGCTGCAAAATACAAGATATACTTAAGATACATATCATATAAGACCTATTGCCTGGAACTTAACATTTTATATTGTTTAACTTACTGTAACTCAATTATAATAAATAAGCATATGGCTATAATCTATATAATAACTAACATCTTTTTTTAGTTATTGTTATTTATGTAAAAGTTATTAAGTTAAATTAAAGTTTTATAACTAAAGTTGGAATGCAAAAGTATATATCAATAAAATTTTTTATCAGTATTATAAACATAATTATTATATTACAAGTATTTACAAGTATAGGTATTGTAAGTATAAGTTATTATTATGTATATTATGAAATTATTGTTTATATTGCAAGTGTACAGTTTTGAATCAAAATTAAAAAATATCAATGATTAAAAAATGAGGTTGATGCATAACAATTAAGCCATATTTTTGCATTTAAACATGTAATTATATCTTTATTTATATCTGACGGTGGGTAAACTTCGTTAAAATCAGTCATTTTGCTTGCTTAAAATATAGAAAAATCAATGGAAAAGAGTGGATCTGTAAAAACGATTTAAATGCTTTTAATTCCCTAAAAATAACCTATTCATTACATTCTATTCGTCTGTTTGCTCTTTTTAAATGTTTCTGACTAAACTAATATTTTGATTAAACTCAAACCATTTATTATCTAATTATATCACTAGCTGCTAGTTTGCACTGTTTGCATTTTTAAAATGATCAAAATATAAAGTTTGTTTCTGCTTTTCTGCAAAATATAAAGTTTGTTTCTAGCAGAAAAAAAACTTTATATTTTGATCATTTTAAAAATACAAACAGTGTCTCAATGGAACATATACTACATGTTTAATAGTTTGTGGAACATATGTTCAACAAATATGTTGAACTTTGTAAATTCATTTAAAAAATAGTATACATGTATATATATGTATTCAGGGGCGGACGCAGGTTTTTAATTTACCCCGTCAAAAAAAAGCGCCTTACGCCATGTTGTAAGTGACGCAACTACGCCCACAAAGCAAATGGAAAAAATGGGGGGGGGAGAAGGAATAAGTAAGGGCGAATCCGGACTATGTAGTAAAGAGGGGTGAGCAATTTTTGTTTTCGTTCGATCCAAACGATTAAAGGGGACGATTTACAGGTTTAACGCTTTTTAAGCAGGCAAGCCCAAAAAAAAAGAATTTAGACTACACAATTTTATGCCACTTTTAAACAGCCTACCAAACCTACTTACGTTTTTACAAAATGTTCTTATAAAAAAATATCTAAGGGAGGCCATCGCTCCTATAGCCTGCCCCCTATGTATTTCCTAGATTTAAAGGGATTTTCTTTTTGCTATTTCATTGAGAAGCTCATATCTTAGTTTTACTTTGAAACTTTTTTTATATATAAATATATAATAAATATATAAACCAACAAATGATTGTTTCGCCCAATATCAGGGCTCATCAGCATGTCTAGGAACATATTTATTCCGGACATGGACAATCAGAGAAAGAAAAATTAAGAACTGAAAAGAGAAAGACAAAAATACAAATGAATTTATATACACCGTGAAATAAAAAGTTATATATATTCTTATATAACAAGATTTAAAAAAAAAAGACATACCAAGTTAAGCTTTAACAACAAGAAAGAAGATCATTTTTGATGAAGTAAAAGGAAAGCTAATGGTTTTGACAACTACAGCAAAAAACTGATTTAAATGGCACAAAAACTTATGAATATTATTAGGTTGATTGAGAGAAAATTTAATGAAAATAATTTTTAAAATTTTTTATTTTGTCGCTAGCAAATGATATAAAAAGATTGTCAAAAAGAGATGGTTAATGTTTGCCTGTACTATGATCACTAATCATATAGCTAATCCCAAACAAAAGTATGGGGTTACATTTAACCCGTCCTGTTAAGGATACCATTGAAGTCTTGGCCTTTCCAGGGGTTTCCATGCCTATTTGTTAGCTGTTATATGAAGAGAGGTGATAATAGACAAAAATTTTAAAAGCTGTTGGCGTGTTATAGAATAAACAGTATAGACACTAATCATTGAAATCAAGTTGTCTATTTTTTATAGAAAATCTATTGATAACATTATTAATACAAGGAACAATTTCTTGATGGGTATACATTATTGCCAAACCGTTAAGTCCATCTTTTGACATTGTTGTTCTCATATAGTCTTTTAACCGACGCATAATAGAAAAACTCCTCTCACACTCACATGAAATAACAGGAAGTGTCCCAAGTATCCTTAAAGCTATCTTAATATTTTCAAATCCAGGAAATGATATCGATTTAAGAGTTAAAGATGTATTATAAGGAATAGTCCCAAAGAACGTTTCCCAGTATTTTTCCCAAAGAACTAGTTCCCCATTCAAGGCACTGATATTAGGGAAATCATCTATATAAAAATCACAGAATGTTTCAAACTGCTTCCTCCAACACAATTGGGTTTTGGATCTTTTAAGAAAAGAAATAATATTAAAAGGAATAATTGATAACCCTTTATATGCAGCTACAGTTTCTGATTTAAATCTTGTAGATATAGGTGTAGATACATGATCTATAAGAGGGATAGTAACAGCTCTTTTGAAGTAATCTGAAACAGACTCTGATGGAGCATTAGAACGATTTTTTTGAATAGAACAGGTCCTTGGTTTTAAAACAAAAATTTCAACTTTACTTGAAAGCAAACATGCTGCTTCATAGCAGTTATTATGAAAACTATCTATACCGTTTCTGATGGAAATAATGTATTTTTAAGAGCTATAATAAGGTGCAAACCGTCTGAGATATCAATAGTTTTTTATTGCAGTAACCGAGTAACAGGTAAAGTAAAATCAAAGACACGTGTTGTCACAACTAAAGTAAAGACGAATTGAAAAATGCCAATGGAATTTAAAAAAGTAGAAGATTTGTTTTGTGTGTCTTTGTTAACAGAACTCTCAGGGGAAGCCATGATACATAAAGCATGGAAAATAGATAAATAATGCTCAAGAAAAGTGTTTAAACCATCTATACGCTCAATCCATCTAATTCTACAGATATCTTTTAATTTTTTTTTATGCGTTTGAGGTTCTCGCTCTAGAATGCTAGCTTCTAAAAACTTTTGTCTTTTTTCTGAATAAGTAAAAAAATAAGAAAGTTCGCGAACTTTATTAAAAACCTCTGAAACTAATTGGACATTAAACGATTCACAAACTGATAAGTTCAGTTCATGGCTATGACAATGTGTATACAAAGCCTTTGAATTTATATTGAGAACCTGAGCAGAAAGACCATTTATATACCCAGAGACAGAACTGGCTCCATCATATCCCTGACCCCTACAGTTTTTTATATCTAGATTTAAGTTGCTTACACAATTTAAAAGAACATTAAACAAATCTTTTCCTTTACCTCCTTCACTACAATGAATAAATTGAATAAAGTCTTCTCTGATATTGAAATCACTATCAACAAATCGTAAAACTAATGACATTTGCTCTTTAGTAGATGAGTCACAGGCTTTATCTGCAATTATTGAAAAAAAAACATTTTTGCGAACTTCAAATAGTATAGATTCACTAATTTCTTCACCACAGCATTTAATAATTTCATTTTGGGAAGTCTTCGAAATGTAAGAGGCATTCTTTGAACAGTTTTTAACCTAAAACATCATTTCCATTGCGTACAGCAAAATTTAAAAGTTTATTAAAACAACCAGTTCCACATTTCGAATACTCTTTAGCCTCTAGAAGATATTGTGATTCATCTCTGTGGCCTCTCAAAGGTTTATTGGTTTGACCGCAAAAAATTATAGCATCAACAATAGGACGAAGTATTTGGCGATTTTTTATTATTTTTTCTTTTACATTAGTATCAATGATGACATTTATTGATTGACTAATGCCTGAGGAATGACTCAAAAAAATATTAAAAACAGGCATAGTAAATGAATGTAAACCATGTTTAGTTGACTCATGATTTGAAAATGATCTAATAGCATCAGACCATTTTTTGAAAGGCTCCAAAATACAAACGTGTTAACTTACGTGATCTTAGTTTGAATTTATTGCCAAATAATACACAAGATAAACAAAATGCCCCATCAGTACTTTTAGAATATCTCAGCCAAGAAAACTCTTTCAACCAAAGATATCTAAACTGACGGCCAGAATTTTTTGAGAAAATGTAATCTTCATTGGGAATAAACATATTTTTAGTTAAAAAAAAAATTTCATGGTCAGATAAAAATTCAACTTTTTGTCTAAAGAAAGCAACATCATTTTGCTCAAAAGACTGGAGAGCATTTAGTACTTCTTTAGGTGGTAAAATATGGTTTGAAGGGCATTCAATATTATTATTATAAAAATTAGGTACTTTCCTCATGCTTGATTTTGATTTTGTAAAAAAAGATTTTGATAGAACACTGTCCTTAGATGTTTTTGAGTGAGAAGAAACATCTTTATTTAATGTTAATGATTGAAAAGATGTTGTGGATTGAGAAGAAGACACTGCTAACTGAGAAGAAAAACTATTTGATTTTAGAATACAAGATGTATTTTGTAAGATTGCACTAGTAGGTTCTGAGTCTGGGTTTGTTTTATGAAAGAATGTAAGGATAGAGTACAGCTTTTTATTTGGATTTTTAGCTTCTGTACTGGGTACAATTGTAGCAACTTGATCAATGGTCTGTTTTGTATTTAGAAATTTATTAGGTTACAAGACTGGCAGCAATTTTTTCGAAAGTATTGTTTTTGATTTACTGGACAACTTACGCTTTTTAGGAATAAAAATTAGTGGGACATAGTGATTATACTGAAATGTACCTGACTGAAAATTCCCATCATAATAAAACAAAATGTAAAATGGGGAACAAAATTTAATTGGAGTACGTGGTGAGACCTCTTGGTTAAAAAATATTTTATACTTTTCAACACCGAAATCTG